TCATATATCTTTTTCTTCTCTTAAAAGAAAACCTTCATCAGATGATAAAATGAAAACTCAACACGATCTCATTACCTCCAACTTAATCAATTATACCCCTATAATCTTCTTATCTATATTCTTAAAAATACATTTACAAAACCCTTTTCTCTACCAACCTATTTTCATTTTTTTTTCATATTTGGACGAACTAAATTTTATTCATATACGAAATTTTATTTAGTTCTTTTATCTACCAATTTATCATTATTATTTTTATCTAGATGAACCGAATTTTCTTTACATATGAGATCTAATTTAGCCCTTTTATCTATCAGTTTATCATTACTATTTTCATTTAGACGAAACTCACCTCATCCAGAGGGTAGACAGTGGAAGCGGCGGCGCCTCCGACCACCACAATGCGACCCGGAACAACGCCGATCTCAGCCCGGTATCTCCCCGACGGTTCCTCGCCCTGGGGTCAAGATAACAGGGTCAGAGATAACAGGGTCACGGATCTCCATGATTAAGTGATGGTTAAGCAAAAATGCGCTCTGTCTTTCTATCTGTCTGTTTGTTCGGTTGTCTGTTTCTGTCTATTTCTATCATCTTCCTGTGGGGAAGATGACTTTGACTTCTGAGTTCTGACTTTGGATTTGATTCTCTCTCTCTCTCTCTCTCTCTCTCTCTCTCTCTCTCTCTCTCTAAAATAACTATAATATAACAAAGTATTTGGTTTGTCATTTTGATTATCGGAAATGTGGATAGAGGAAAGGATCTTAAGAAAATAAAGAAAAAGAAAGAAAGAAAAAATCTTTAAAAAGAGACACAAAGCGAGAAAGAAAGATGACATCTTTAAAAAAATAATAAAAAATAAATAAATAAATAAATAAAAAGAAAGAAAAAGAAAGAAAGAAAGGAAAAGGTACTTCAACTCGACGAAATACGACACCTTGAAAAGGTCGTTGGTGGCGAGGCTGGACCACGTCCCCGTCGGCAGGTGGAGGGCGTGGGCGTGCAGAGAGAAGTGATATCCCGACGTCCCTCCTACAGTGTACACGTAGTCCCCGACGCGGCGAGAAGCCTGTCCGTAGAGCGCGGGGGGCGTCTCGCCGTGGCATTCGAGGTCCCTCCATTCGCCCGTCCTCTTGTCGCAGGCACGGACGTCGACGCCGATGCTGCTGCCGAAGGGGTAGCTCGTGCCGCCGAAGATGAGGAGCTCGTCCTTGGTCGAGACGAGGCAGTGGGACACGGTTTCTCCGGGCGTCGAGGAGGAGGAGGACAGCTGTTCCCACTCGCCGGTCGAGAGGTTGAGACGCCAGACCTGTGGGGAGGGGAAGGAAGGGGAGGGTTAGCGGTTACCTGATGTAAGGGGGAAGGGAGGGGGAGAGAGGAAGATGGAGGAGGGAGGAAGGGAGGGAGGGGGTGGTAGGAACAGAAAGGGAGAAAAGAAGAGAAGAATGAATACGGAAATAGGAGAAGAAAGGAGGAAGACGAATGAAAGAGACGCAGGCCGATGATAGAGAAAAGGGAGGAAACGAAAGAGGGAGATATAGAGAAAGAGAAAGAAGAAGAGGTAAAGGGAGAGGGCGAGGGAGAAGAAGGAGGAAGAAGGAAAGAAGAGAAAAGAGAAGAAGAAGGAATAACACAATAGATGACGAGATAAATAAAAATAAACAAACATAATGATGAACATAATAACAATAAAAAAATAGAAACAAATATAAAAAATAAAGAATAAAGACATAAACAGCGTTAATGAGACTAATAATGAGTTCAGAATTACCAAAGGAAGTTAAAAATCGAAGAAAAAATATAAAAAAAACATCTTTTTTCCTCGAAACCACGAAGCTTGGGAGAAATTGACGAAGAAAGAAGAAGAAGAAGAAGAAGAAGAAGGAATGAAGAAGAAAAAGTAGAAGTAGAAGAAGACATGAAGAAGAAGAAAGAGAAAAAGAAGAAGAAAAAAAATAAAAAGAAGAAAAAGAAGAAGAAAGAGAAGAAATGAAGAATAAACATAAGAAAATAATGGAAGACAAGCAATTTATACGTATATAACATAAATCCAAATACTAATGAAAGTACACCCCCCCCAAAAAAAAAAAAAAAAAAAAAAAAATCAGAATCGTGAGAGGTTAGCGAACTCGAAGATACATCAAGCTAATTCCCACAATGGCGCTCGTGACATGTGTCCGTCACAATGTATTATTTTCTTTTTGTTTTGGTTTTATTGCTGTGAAGGCAAGGAGACTGAGAAAGAGATTAAGAGAGAGAGAGAGGGGGGGGGGAGAGGGGAGGGAGGGAGGGAGGGAGGGAGAGAAAATGAAATGTCTTTTCTCTTTTCTGTCTTTATCATGCGTATATATACATATATATATACATATTACACATATATATATTCTATGTGTGTGTGTCGACATACATGTTTGTCCACACACACACTTGCAAGTATGTATTTATGTACGTCTATCCATACCTATTGAAGGGACTAATATCATACTCTGAAAGTTGTGTACATTCTGTTTTCCTCCTTAACTCTGCATGCGATTCTTTCAATAAAATTTTACTGTCCTTGGCGTCCCGAATACGTAACTGTCCTTAACTCTCCAGACCCTCCAAACGCACTTTACCTTTACCTTTCTCTGGTACCTGTGCTTTTTGCATAAAAGCTACAAAGATGAAAGCCATGATGTAGTGGAGACGAGACAAATGATTCTACGAAAAATCACAAAAGAAAGTGAAGAGATCATCTCCTCTGAGATTTGCATATGACTTCTGACACCAGGTTCCTCACGTTCCTGCCAATTAACTGGTGATTTTCCTTAAAGCGTGATCTCTTTTGTGTGTGTGTAAGACTGTTAAAAATGACATGCGGCATCTCTCATATTCTTAGGACGTGATGATGCGTAATAACTAACCAGGAAGAAAAACAAATATGTATTTACGTATCTTGTCTTGTATAATGAACTGACGAAGATACTCTCCTTCGTCTTGCACCTTAAAGAGACTTGTCAAAACTGCTGACTGGCCATTCTTACCAAATAACCTTAAAATGCAGATCCCTAGCTAATCCCAAATCAGAGAGAGAACAAGCTGCCAGCCAAAAGAAAAACAACAACTAAAACAACCAAATAATCCGCTTAATGGAGACATACCCAATGGCGTTATTTGCCCAATCGTCCTCTACAGCGTCCTCACTCCTCCCATCCTATTTTTCCTCCGCGTAATAATAATCTTCGAGCAGAAATAAAGCCATTATGAAAACGCATGAGGTTGCAAGGGTGTGTCTGAGTGACCCTAAACAACCCAGACATACCCGAAATCATCGGCCCCTACAAGGTATTTTGACCAGACTTTCCTCCTTCGCTTCTCCTATTGTTTCAGCCCTTTGCCAATTTGCATCGTCGGCTCCACGATAAAGGGCAACGGTGTTTACTCGATGACATTGGGATTTTTTCGAGACCAAGGGAGTTCTCTCGGTTCTACTGGCCATGTCGGTGATGCTCAGTTCTAGGTGGACGCTGGGAAATGCGTTTTAGAGGGACGTTTGCTATTTTCATCCTCCTTTTCCTCCACTAAACTATATGAGAAAAAAGACCCAAAATCCTGTTCTGGACTCCCTATCGCTTCGTTCAACATGGCCACCTATCTTTTTTTTCTCTCTCTCTCACCTGAAGAAACCGTGCAATATTCTAAAAGCAGGAATCAACATCCCAACGCGCACCTTCACACACTGACTCTTAAAAGGGGACAAAACTAAAGAACAAGATAATAAATAGTAAGGAAAACCAGAAGAAGAAGAAAACTAAGAAGGAAAAGAAGAATTGCCAAATACAAGACACCAATTATAGTCTTTTGTTTTTACATGCACTGGCCCAAGGAGAGTTTGTTGTTAGGTTACGAGCAGGATCTATAATGCATGATACATGTACTGTAAATCCACGCTTTCACTCTCCGTGAAATGTGCATATGTTTGTTTGTCTATATATACTGCAATGTATCTATCTCTGTCTATAATTCACGGAATGAAAATAGCAGTAAAAGATAACAATGTAGTTGATGCTAATGCTCGTGCTAATCATATTAGGAACAATAACAATAATGATAATATAATTGATAATATTATTGGTAATAATGAATGATAATGACACTGATAATAATCATAATGATGATAATAACAATAACAGCAACACTAGCAATGGTAACTCCAATAATAATAATAATAATAATAATAATAATAATAATAATAATGATAACGATACTAATACTAATAATAACTATTATTGTTATTATTACTGTTACTATTATCATTATCATTATCGTTGTAATAATAATGATGATAATAATAAAATAATCACCATCATCATCATAATAATAACGACAATAGTAGTGATAATAATGATAATGAAAACAATAATACTACTACTACTGCTACTAAAAATAACAATGAAAATAATAATAATTATAACAATTGTAATAATAATGAATATGATAGCGATGATAATGATAATACCGGTAACGATACCAATAAAGATGAAATGATAATAATAACAATAATACAAAAACACAAAAATAAATATAAAAAATCATAAAAAATTGTACTAGTTATATAAATAATACTAATGATGATGATAAAATACATTTAATAATAAGAACTTCATCAAGAAATGATAATAAATCGTGATACCAATAACAGTAATGATAGTAATCATGACAACAATAACAGTTACGAAGAAAACGGGAATACCACCAGTTCAAAGAGAACGGAAAATACCACCCAGTTCAAAGAAAACGGAAAATACCACCCAGTCCAAAGAAAATGGGAATACCACCCACCAATTCAAAGAAAACAGAAAATCCAACTAACTCACGTCTTGCAGCGGGCCGTGGGCTGGATGATAGCCGCCCACACAGTACAGGAATGATTCGGTACAGGATATCCGATGGCCACTACGCCCTGTGGGTGTGCATCCTGAGGGAGGGAAGGAGGGAGAGAGGGAGGGTTAGGACTGAGTAGTGAGCACTGGGGAGCCAGAAGGGAGAGAGGGAGAAAGAGGGGGTAGGAGGCTTGGGGATAGAGGCGAATAGAGGGGGAAGGAGAAGGAGAGAGAGAGAGAGAGAGAGAGAGAGAGAGAGAGAGAGAGAGAGAGAGAGAGAGAGAGAGAGAGAGAGAGAGAGAGAGAGAGAGAGAGGAACAGAGAGAGAGGGAGAAGTAGAGAGAGAGGGAGAAGGAGAGAGAAAGGGAAAAGTAGAGATAGATAGAGAGAGAGGGAGAAGTAGAGAGAGATAGAGAGAGAGGGAGAAGTAGAGAGAGAGAGAGAGAAAGGAGGGGAGAGAAGAAGATATATGGTAGACAGTAGGCAGAGAGAAAGGGCGTAGATAAACAGATGGATATATAAATAAATATAGATATACAATAATGATAATAATAATGAAGCAACCAGAACAATAGCAATGATACTGATGATAATAATAATGAAGATAAGGACAACAACAATAATGATAATGATATCATTACTATTAATTATAATAATGGTAATAAGAGCAATAATAATAATAATGATAATAATAATAATAATATTGGTGATGATAACAATGATGATAATAATTATAATAATAACAATAATAAAAATAAGTTACAATAACAATAATAGAAATAATAATTGCAATAACAATAATGACAATATTATTGATAATAACTATGAGAATGATAATGATAATAATTATAATAATGATAATAGCAGTAATAATAATAACAATAATATTGATAATAATAACAATAATATTATTAATAATAAAAAGAACAGTAATAATAATCATATATTACAACTAGAACTTAATATGATCAGAATCATTACAGTATTGGTAATAAATATGATAATGATAATGATAAAAATAGTTAATATACCAGTAACAACAACAACAATAATATTAATAATGATGATGATAATAGTAGTGATGATGATGACGATAATAAAAATAATGATGATAATGATAATGACAATAATAATAATGATAATTATCGTAACAGTAATAGTAATAACAATTATAATAGTGTTAATAATGAATGACAGTAATAATAATGATGATAATAATAATGGCAATAACAAAAACAATAATCAGTTTTAATACTATTTTCAGCCTTACCTTCGCTCGCCCAAGTCTGAATTTCTTCCATTAAATTATCTTGGAAATCCATGTTGGTATTTAAGCTGAAGACTGTTAACAAAAAAATGATGTAAGTTCTCTTTTCTGCTTATACACTGACTTTGCAGTGTTGACTGCTGACCTATAGACTTCGACCTCCTTTATATACCTGCCGGTCGGTCCAGGTGCCAGTTCGTATTCCATAAAAAGAAATTGGATGTCCGCTTCCGATTTTTTGTTTCTGGCGGTATTTCTGCCTTGTAGATGGGTCAATTTATATATCAGTTTGCGATTTCCAGATGAAATTAATTGAAAATATTGATGTTGACATTTTAGTGGTGATTTTACAGGTGATAATCGATTTTGAGAATAGTGACAGGGATGATGATGATTGTGGTTATCATCATCATAATAGTGATAATGATATAAAATGTTTACAACAACAATGATAACACAAATGATAAGAAAGTATAGTCATAATAAGAGTAGTAAAAAGTAATAATAATAATACTGAAACAATGACGACAATAATATTAATGAAAAGATTGAAAATAATAAAAATAGTATAATAGTATAGGTATAACAATTGTTATGATTAAAGATATATATATATATATATATATATATATATATATATATATATATATATATATATGTATTTTGATGATGATGATGATGATGATGATGATGAGGATGATAATGATGGTGATGAAGATGATGATGATACGGAGGAAGAAGAAAAACATAAGAATAAATGACAATGGTGCTGATAACAATGATAATGAAAACGATAACAGTAATGAAATTAAAATCAATGACAGAATCCTAATTTTTATCCCAGACTCATCGATTGTTTGCATATATTGCGTCTTGGGAAAGGTAATTAAACAACAAAAAAATATATTGATAGTGAGCGTGATAACAGCAACACCGTTAATACAAATACGCTGAACTACATACACACGTATATCTACATTGTAGATCGACTAGATACTTTAAATACCCAGGAATAGCTAAGCAGACGACTGGTTTAAGGAGCAGGTTTGTGTTTTATAACAATTTTTGTGTCGATTTTCCTCCTTCTCAGTTAGCTTTTTTGTTTCAGAAGTCTACGGGATTTGTGCGCCAGCTTTAGACTACATACACATATACCAAGCTGTTGCTGGCTTGGTGGACGAATAAATAAAAGACTATGTAATTATTTTTCCCCTTTTATCTGATCTAGCATAGATAATAATATAGCCAAAATCTCCAATGTAATGCTATAACATAATGCTATGACTATGCATCACATGTATCAGAGCTTGTCAACGCCTGTGCAGCAAATCATGTTGGTAAATAAAGGACTAAAAGAAAGAAAGAAAGAAAAAA